ATGGAGAAGACCATGTATCGACTATGACGAAAAGCGATTTAAGACTAGCTCTGAATTAAGGTCCCCAACGCCAGTATGAAATTGATGTCTATCGGTAATATTCTTTCCAATATGTTGGCTGATCCTCACAGTAGAGACCTTCTAAGTTATAGAGACAACAGGGAATCAAGTAACATGCAAATGAGTGATATTTTCGATGGGCAAATTTACAAGAATCTGGTAAGAAGGGATTGTTCTCCAATCCTGACCATATCGCTATTGATCTTTACACGGATTGGTTTATAAACCAAAAGAGCAAAAATTGTTTTAAATCATCCACATTGTGATATTCAATCTTGATCCTTCCATCAGGTAACAAATTATACTGGTCTTAAAATTTACAACTTTCTAAAAAACTAGACATTAGATACACAAACGAGCATATGTTACAGCTAGAATTTTTACCCGGTCCTAAAAAACGTACTCGTCCAGATTCATTCTTGCCCCCCATCATCGACGAGTTAGAGGATTTGGAAACCCATGGGTTTGTTATCAAACGTGGTGATATGGAAATCGGTCGCTCCAAAGTATACTTGCTACTAGCATCTGGTATTATTCCAGCTGGGGCAGATATGGCTCACATCGGTTCTCATACCAGTACATACGGTTGTCGTTTTTGTGAATCGAAAGGGAGAAGTCCAGACAATAAGTCTGATCGAAAGTATTTTGACGATTGTTCTGCCCCATTGATCCCACTGCAAGACTACATGACTGGAAATCCTGTAAGTATAATGACTTGATCTTTTGTTATCTCGAGACTAATAAAGTGTACCTACTATAGAAAAAAAACATTTACCAACCAAGTGTCTTCAGTGAGCTATCGACATTTTCCGGTTCCTCATTTTTTTGGTTGGATTAGCTCCATATTATAGCCAGAGGTATCGGCAAACATTTATACGATCTGATCACAGTAGAACTTTCCAAAGATCAAAAGTACTACTATACAAAGCAAGATAAAACCGTCTCAATCGCCAAGTATCCTTTCTACATCTCAAGAAACAATTTGGATATTATTGGGGATTGCATCACTTCATCTAGAAAGCATGTCCCCGTTTCTTTCCAGGGTAGCTTCGACAATGTGTTTGAAATGATTGATGGTACACGTGCGGTGGATTGGTTGGACTTCCTTTTGTACATTGTTCCCACACTGGTTGCGCCCTACCTGCCTAACAGGTCTGCCAAAAATAACGTCCTGGGCTTGGTCAAAGGTTGTGCTCTTTCATTGCAGTGGGATCTTACACCAGATCTTATCAATGAAATGGATGGGTAAGTCAGTATACTAAAGTATTTAACAGAAATATATTACCTTTGACAGCTTCTTTGCGACTTGGCACACGTATCTTCTGGAGCAAGTCAATCTGAAAAACATCTCTCGGAGCGTGTTTCGTCCTGTCCAACATTACTTGATTCACGTTCCATACATCATTAAGCAACAAGGTCCCTTGAGGTGTTACTCTGCAAGATCCATGGAGATAGTGATTGGTGTATACTCGAAACTAATTAAATCAAGAAGAATGGGTGGTAAAAATGCAAGTATGCTCATTCAAAGATTTGCAATTCGTAATTTCATCAACGGCATTATCGATATTACGAAAGAAATTGATTTGATCGTACCAGCCGGACCAGGGGACATCGATTGCATGGATCTTCCTGATAGCCTGGATGATGTGCAGCTTTGGGCGCCGTTTGGTGCTAACACCTCTCTGGATGGTGAGATGATAGAAGGTATCAGATGCAGCCGAGTAAAGGATGCCTTATCTAGATATTACCGAAGATCTAGTGGTGTTAACGTTGCTACTTCTTTCGGTGATTCTGAAATTGCCACTGCTTCTCGTGCTTGGATAAACAGCAATGTTTATTCCTCCAGCATGTACCGAAGACAAAGGAACGAGATAAGTCGGGGAAACCATTACGTGATATTCAGCACCAGCTATAAAAAGTAAGTCGATTCCTGTTTTATTGAGTTAGCTTCTAACTCCTTTTTCTTTTTCTATTTTTATCTTAGCCACTTCCACGTTTCCCTTCGCTGTTGGCTTGTAGGTGCTGTTCATTTCTTTTTCAAGCATGTTGACTTGAATAACATCCGACAGTTTTTGGCGCTAGTCGAAGTCATGAAACATCACCACGTCGCCCGACACGACAAGTCTGTTTCAATTGTCAAGGCTCGTTCAGGATCAGGGCAAGCGACATTCGCGGTCATCATCGTGGCAGACATTGAACATCAAGTTGGGTTAATTGAGTTTCCTCCCAATGGAAACCAGTTCTACGTCATTGCCCCCTACTATGCATTGAACAATAATCTTCAAGCAAATAAAGGAAACCTTTCCATGTTGTAAGTTTTTGTAATTGCCATTCGTTTCATTACTTTTCTTTTCTTTTATGGAACACATGTGGAATGGAATGAGGTCATATTTTCTTCGGGCAAAATGATAATAAAAGAATCACAGAACCGAAAAAAACAACTTTTTTTTTTAAAAAATAAATAAATAAATAAATCTGGTTTTTAAAATAATAAAAAAATGGTAGTTTGTTATCATTTGCTTCACAGGCTCAAAACATTATGTTTTATGCTGTAACCCATCAAATTCAGATCAATATTGCATCAAATTTTTGTCATATAGCAATCTAATTTTAACTTCGATATAGTTTTTATAACATCTAAACTACATATTGACGGTTCTAGAAATGTTTTTGAAGCACTTTTGTTTTTTTTATGATATTATGATCATTTGTAGCAATTTTTTTCTCGAATCTTATTGGCTGGGGATATGGAGCAAATTAAAAATATGGCAGTTATGTTTCCATTAAATTCAGGGCTGCTGGTATGTCCGCCATAATGTTAATAACAATAGTAGGGTATTTAAAAGAAGGGGGATTGGTCACTTGCAGCTCTTTTCTTTTCGCAAGAATTTTAGTTTCGTTTGCCTACTTCCTTGTTGTATTTATAGATTATTTACATGGTTTTGGTTTCTAGCTACTCCAATAAATTCAACTGAAATGTTGCAATAAAATTAATATTCTTAAAGCCACACAATGAAAGCGGAAGAGAAAAACAAAGTATATGCTTAAGCGTTACCGAAATGCTTTAGCCCCATTTTATATTTGGCTGGTTATAAGTGTCAGCTTAAAATACTTTATGCTTAGTTTTTCCGCGTGTCATAAACAGTTATATCCATAAATACCATCTTGCCCTCGTCAGACGTATACTATAATAAACTTTAAATTTTCTTTCTAAAAATATCATCAGGACGTGCTTTCCAATAAAACGTCCTGAATAAACACTATTGACGTAGTTAAACCATACAGTATTAGTAACACACGCCTAATGACGTTCATAAGCGCTTAATTAGAAAAGCGAATGACGAATTGAACTGGATGGAAAATAAGCATTCATTGCTTAACGGTACCATTACCAGCATTCCGATATAAGGGAATATGCGTTTTTGTACAAACACGAAAATGTGTATACCTCAAACTGAAACCTCATACTTAAGTACACGAAGCCAATTTACCAAAAAAAAAAAAAAAAATTGCTATGCAGGAAAAATAAATTTCTCTAAACGCTCAAAAAAAATGTGTTGAGAGCCATTAATGTTGGTAAATAACCTATCTAGTTTCTATAATCAAGTAAAGGTAAACCATATTATACGTATGTAACTTTTATTAATTAGGGGGGCCATTTAAACAAGATTAATGTTGCCCAAGAACGTTTTCCATTTAGTCTTTCTCATAAGTCGTTCCATGTAATTAGATTAGCAGAATGAATAAATAGCTGCAATCCCTAAAAGACCGAAATTATTATGATATCATGTTTTTTATGGAAATCAGTGATTTCTATGGAAACGTAATAATGGTTATCACTATTTCTTTTTAAGGCCAATTCTTTTTAGTTACACTTAAACGCTTAAACAAACAATCCCTTTTTTTTATGTTAATAACCACAATGTCTTTGTTCCAAATGCACCCATTACCCAATCTAAATAAAACTACATAGTCATTCGTATATAGAAAATTCTTCTTCATAAAAAAAAATGTTTATTACAATCTGGATGGACCAGAAGGACGAGTGAAAAAACATTTTCTTTGTTCCTGGGGCACTAAAACGGTATGATGGTCAATTAGTAAACTGATTAAAAAGAATTTCCAAATATAGATAAATACCTGTTCTGCTTAAAGGATCCCTGAATTTTTCGTTGTCCAAGTTTCGCCAAGGAGATCCGACGTACGAAAAGCGAGTTCGGCGAACCAGGGGCTCGGAGGTTGCCGGCTCGTCGACACGCAAAGAGGAAGAAAAAGGCCGGGGAGAAGGAGAGGAAGCAACACTGACCTCGCTGACTGCAGCAGCACCAGAAAGCACAGGAGAAGGGGGAGAAGCAACGATGACTGAAGGTGAAGCAACAGCAGCAGCAGAAAACAAAGAAGAAGGGGTAGCAACAACAGTGACCGCAGAAGCCGCAGGAGAAACCGAAGACACCGGAGAAGGAGAAGAAGCCATAACAGCACCGACACCAGAAGAAAAGAGCGGGCGGAGGCAAAGAAAACGTGTCCTCGGCAGGAACAGACATTACCCGGCGACGAGGAGAAAAACCGGGAGAAGGAGAGCGGGATCTTCTTTTTTCTCCTACCTTTGGATCCTCCAAAGCAGAAGACGAAGCAACAGGAGACCACCACCGGAGTCTTTGGCAGCAAAGACAAACCGGCAACGGGGGAGCGGCGTCAACTATTTCCCGAAAGGAAACGAAGCGGACGAAAAACGGGCGAAGCGAGATTCCCTTGTCTAAGAATAGGCGAGAGCGAGGAGAGCGCAATTCCTCCGAAGGCTCACCAGCAGAAAGAAAGCCAAGAGAAGGCCGGGGGAAAACAGGAGACGCCATATCCACAGATGTGAATGAAGAGGAGGGCGGGAGAGATACCAACTCATCCCAAAGCCAAGACCGCAGAAGACGAAGCAGGTGCCACAACGGGAGAGGCAGAAGGAGAGCAAGAAAAAACCGGAGAGGGCGAGACAGAACCTACACGGGCCACTCCAAACTGGCGGCCGAACCAGCAGAGACAGGAGGTACTTTCAAAGATCCAATTCCAACCGACGAACCACCAACGACGGAAGGACAAGCGTTATCCTCAAGGG